TTTTTTTTTTTTTTGTACCGGGGATGGAACTCAGGTCCTTGCGCTTGAGCAGCAGGGGGCAAAACCACTGAGCCAAACCCCTGGCCCTGAAAGCCCACTTTCAAGTGTGGGTGTAATTGTTTACTTTTGCAATTTAGTGGATATGTACAGTGAACAAAGACAAAGGAAAGGAAAACTAAGCAACTATTAATTAAATCCTTGGATTTCAGAAGAGAAACAACATTCCTCTAATGGCCACACCAGCAGTAGTATTCATTCTGAAGTGAGAACCAATGATATGTTATGCATAAACTACATCAGTTATTTTAACAATTTAAATTTTAGTCAATACAGAGTTTTCTCCCTGCTTTTTGCAACCAACTCACTGGGTGACACTGAAAATACAGTTTGGATGGTCAAAAACTAGTTGAAAAGTTTCAGATACAACATATGTGCATACACATATATGCATACATATATATTTAAAATAGGTATATATTCATGGGTAAACTGTGTTCTTACATTTGAGGAAAAAATCCTGTTCACAAGGTTTCAAAACCATTAGCCAGAATTATTTGTGTGGTACCTCCATCAAGCATATGATTAAGGTTATAAAGCCACCAGAACAGAACTTTTAAAATATTATTCTAATATAAATATTTCATATTGTCTGTAATTAAAAATAAATCAGTTGGCATAGTAAATAGATTACATTAAACAATGAGATAGAGAAAAAGCTACATGAATTAAATCAAGATGGGTTTACTAAAATTCAAATAAAATCTTTTATTAGATTAAAAGCTATATTTTTTTTAAGAAAAAATAAAAAGTTTTCTCACTAGTATCTTTTCTTTTTGTACATTTAATTCTCTTTGGATCAATGTAAAATGCAGCAAAATTTTAATTTTGGATGACATTTCATGTATAAATTTTAGGAACTCATATTTGGCAAGCATATATGATATTTTGATGAGGACTTACAATTAAATACTTTTCTAGCCTTTATCAAAGTGGAGTAATCAATAATTCTATTTGTGAGTTGGGAAATTGGGGTACAGAAAATCAGGACAGAAGACAAAAAAAATTATCTTTAAAAGATTTAGGAAGTATTTCAAAATTCTAAAAAGTGATGTCTTTTAAGGCCATAAGAGACAATGAAATTTAAAAATTTCAATAATTACATAATTAATCTGAGTCAATATTTCTAAAGTGAGTAAAGGTTGAAAAATTCTTCTTCCTTTTCTCTTCCTCCTTCCCACCCCCTCATCTTACTCCTTCCTCTGTTTTACTTTGTAATACTGGGGATGGAACTCAATGGCTCTCCTGTCCCCATGCTTTTTATTTATTTACATTTTTTTTGGTTTGAGACAAGGTCTTGCTAAATTGCCCAGGCTGTCCTCAGACTTGAAATACTCCAGCCTCAGTTTCCAGAATAGCTAGAATTACAAGCTTGTGCCACCTATGCCCTTTTTTTTTTTTCTTTTCCACACAAGGTTTTTCTTTGTTGTCCAGGTTGGCCTGGCCTCAACTCATGGACTCAAGCAATCCTTCTCAGTCTCCTGAGTCACTGGAACTACAAGTGCACTCCACCGCAACCAGTACAAGACATTTTTTAAACTCATATTTTTCCTGATTTATTATAGTGCAAAGTATTACAGTCCAGGTTCTCTCCAAGTTATTTTTTGTGTGATTAACTTATATAGTTAAATTTTTTTGTCTTCATTATCAAACTTTAATAAAGAAAATATTTATGTTGATTGAAATAACGGGGAGAAGAGAAGAGTGGTGTTTGGGGAAAGTTTACTCTCAGATATTTGTAGCTGGATCAGTGACACTCTACAGAGAGAAAAATGAGAAAATGCAGAAAATGAAAATGAGTTACATTAATCATTAAGAATATGATGATGAGTTGGAAAATCATGAGTTGTATTAGTTTTACCAGATATGAAAAGTATCTCTTCTATATTTTATATATATTTATTTTCTCTCACTTGGTCAAAAATGTTAATCTTCATTTTAAGAAATGAAAAGAACATAAACTAAAGGAAACCAATAAAGAAATGAACCAAAGGTTAGAGCTCTAAATACAAAATTCCTATTATTTTAAGTGTGGTTCCTGGAGTACCTGGATCACATGCCAACACGAGTAACACCACTGACAGTTTGAGCCCCACAGTTAACAGAACAATCATGGCAGTAAGCATGAATTATATAAACTGATTTCCAAGAAAAATATTACATATCCTGAAAAAGATCAACAGCTTCTGGGGTTGCTAGGAAAACGATTTTAGGAAAATAAACAAAAGTCATAATGAAGTATAAATTCAAGGATAGGTTTTCAAATTAAAAATTCTTAATTTTCTTTTAGAATATCCAATTTGATTTGCTTGCCTAAAACAACAAAAAATAAAAACAAAAGTCTTCAGCTTGATACTGAATTATTACAAGCATAATTTATCAAATTATAAGAAAAATCATTTTATTTATAGGCTATAGAAAAGTTATTGAGGAGAACAGATAGATTGATAGCTAACATTATCAAAGCCAGTTTGATGTACCGTGCCATTGAAATTTTACCTTCATGTATCACTGAAAAGATTAACAAAGCCTTACTATATCATCATTGACAAATGGGATAAAGATCCAACTAGCATGACAACAACCTCCAAATAGGATAGGAACCTATAACTCGAAGTCAAAAGAAAGTCACTTCTCTAGCAATTAATTTTTTGGGTAACATGAGTGAGGAATTGGTTCAAGTTAGAGAATTAGTGATGTTTAAAGAGGCAAGTTTTTGATTATATTTCTTTTTCAAAATAGACATTAAAAACGTAATCTTCTACAATAGTAAATGTACTAATATGTATGAAAAAATCCATGCTTTGAGAAGATTGACGTACACTACAGTAAAGGTACAATGCCTTGGTATACCTGCAAACATATCTTGGTGTCTTCATTTAATACCTTATTGATAAAGTTTTTCATTTCTAGCTTGGATAGTGAAAAAGCATACAAAATACTACATCATGGTCAAGGTGGAATATCTAGATTAATAATATAGTAAGATCCCGGACCCATTTAAAAATCACCTTACACATAACAGTGATATTATGCAGATTTGACTCCTACTTTTCCCCAAAACTTCCTAACAGATTTTATTGGAATGAACTCTAGATTCACTGAGGATTCCATACCCTGTCAGATAAAACAGTAATGTTAATGAATCAATAATATTTCCCCTTGTAAAAGAGGAAAACCATCTAGGCTGCAACTTCACAACTTTTTTTTAGCAATTCAAAAAACCATAAAGGGCAGTAACAATAGAGGAAAATATATGTGGGGTAAATAAAAGAAATAATAATCATTCACAAACTAAGAGTATGGGATTATATAATTTCTTTTCATAGAAAAGCAAAATTGTTTTAAAATTAGCCAGGGGAAAATGTTAGCCCTTAATTTAGATATTAAGTTACTACTAACTTCATTTACGTACACTTCAGTCTTTATCTTTTCCTCAAAATTTTAATTGGCCATTTGCATATCATTAGCATTATTAGTCATACATTGATTTTCTGAAACCTTCTGGCTAACAGAGGAATTGAGCTGTACGACAATCCCCACATTAGAAACTGGATAATGCCACAAGACCCCCCATCTTTTTTTTCTGAAAAGCGTACATAGGGATTGATGCTAATAATTGCCAATGCGTGCATATGTAATAGCTTTCATTTTATGAAAAAGACTGAAGGACATTTATTCAGACAGTCCTGTGTTGAAAATCACAAGTGCATTAAGGGATAAAGTTGTGGGCCTTGTTTTTTCTACTCAAGGATAAAGTATCTTGAGAGGCATGGCCTAGTCCCAGTGCTATCTCACTTTCTGCAGCTCCTGTCTCAGCCATGATGGCAGAGGCTGCCCCAGTCTGTGCAGCAGTTTGGACAGTTCCACATTGTGGTCTCGGTAGTAGTTAGAGAGGAAACTTCTGGACTGCAAAACAAAAAAGGTAAAGAAAGCTTGAAAGAAGTTATTAGTTCATCAAACAGGATTATGTAATCTGCATCTCTTAAGAAATTCTAATACAATACAGGTGTCTAAAAATATTTCTTATTTTTCCTTAACTATTGGTTATTTTTACCTTTTGAAAATTTTGGCACAAGTATAGCTGGTAAATAAAAATAGATTCAGGTTTGTCCTAAGTGGCTTATCTACCACTTCAGCACAGGTTTATTGCAGGATTCATGCTGGCTACACAGAGAGAAAATTGGCCACAGAAATATAACACTAGAGAGAAATGAGGCAGGGATCCGATGAGGACACAAATCTACAGATGTGAACAAAGTGAAAATTCACATAGTTCCTTTAAAAAGAAGCCTATAGAGTAAAAATTTAAAATGAACATCAATAATCATAAACAGAAATGGTGAGTTACAAAAATATAACTTGCCACATTACATAAGAATTTTCTATATTCATTCAGGACAAAATTACTCTTTTTAATTATTAAGAGCTTTCCTATTTCTAAAATATTATAAGGCATGTGAAACTTAGTCATTTTTGGTAATTTCTATACTCCTGGTCAAGATGCAGGGATTGACTGTTATTAGGTAAATGGTTTCAAAAAGATAAAATATATCAATGGTTTTAGTTCCATGCCTAACATTTACTCATAAAGATTTCTAGAACACAGAAAGTGTACAATTGGCTTTTCTTTTCTCATGTCACTCATTCATATTATATCTCAATAAATATAGTTCTGTCTCTTTAGTGAAATAGTGGATATGATCCTGTTCCCCCTGTAAGTACAGGTGGCAATGGCTCACCAATGTTTTATCCATCTGATTAAAGTTCCACAATCTTTCCTAAGCCCTCCCCAATATTTTAACATAAACATGTGTCTTTCTCCATAAAATTCCTTTAGCAACTTTTGGGTACACCTGAAAATGGGTTTAAGACAGCTACATTTCATCTTGGACCATTCTCCAGGCTTCTTCTTATGTTTCTTTCCTTAAACCAGATCGTAAACACTTCAAATTTGAGATAAGATGCATACAGCAGTAGTGGGAACATCACGTTAATTTTTTTTGCAGATTAAAGTGATTTCTGAAACGCTTTTGAAATTATTGAGTTCAAAGTTGTACTCTAAGAACCTTCTGGTACTTCTGTCTCCATGGTAACATGTGAACCACTTGCACCATCCCTTTGCTCACCTTGTCTTAGGAGAGATTCTCATGGTATCTGGCAGAGTTGATTGCTGGCTGGGTTCCCAACCTGTCTAACATAACTTCACTTCTACTAAGCCTTCTTTCTTTTGCTTTTTTGTAGTTGAATTTGTCATTGTTTTATGCATCCTATTATAAATCATTGGTCATAAAAATTTATCCATTATATACTAAATCTGGTTTCATAACTATTTGTTCTTTGTATCTCCTCCATTACTTACATTTTACTCATGCATGATGTAAGCATTGGACATATGTGTTGAACATATAATAATTGTGCTTGCACATTTTTCTCAAATCATTTTTTTTTTTTGCTAAACAACTTAAGTGATTTGCACATTTGGAAAGTAATTACTTTTGGTAAATATTTATATTTGATTTATATTCTAAGAGGAAAATTTCTTTTTAAAATTTTATTTTATTAGTACAATTTAGGTGTGCAATATAATGACATTCATGATTGGAAATTTGTATTTTTACATAATCTCTCTTGGTTCTTATT